TTGAAGATTGTTCGAGTCTTATACTCTCTGAAGAAATAGGGACCAGACACGATTGTTGAAGATTGTTCGAGTCTTATACTCTCTGAAAAATAGGGAGCAGACACGATTATTGAAGATTGTTCAAGTCTCATACTCTCTGAAGAAATATGGAGCAAACACGATATTGAAGATTGTTCGAGTCTCATACTCTCTGAAAAAATAGGGAGCAGACACGATTGTTGAAGATTGTTCGAGTCTCATACTCTTTGAAGAAATAGGGAGCAGACACGATTATTGAAGATTATTCGAGTCTTATACTCTATGAAGAAATAGGGAGCAGAAACGATTGTTGAAGATTGTTCGAGTCTTATACTCTCTGAAGAAATTGGGAGCAGACACGATTGTTGAAGATTGTTCGAGTCATACCCTAAAAATAGGAAGCGAACTCGTTGATCGAAGATTAATCAAGTCCTATACTCTCTGAAAGAATAGGGAGCAGACATGTGTTCTGAAGATTTTTCAAGTCTCACTTACTCCGGATGAGGAGTGGAGCAGATCTCTTATCAAATTTCAAAGCAAATTTGGAATTGGACAAAAATGTGTTGTCTCTTTTATCTTTTCCTTATTCTTGTTAACACAAGAATGAGCAAAGAGGGGCAGGTGTTGACACCCGTTTTTGTCCGGGTTATAAATATTATATTATAATAATTATTATTATTATAATCATAATTATTACAATAAAATTATTATTATTAGTAGTATTATTATTAATATTGTATATGTTTTTATTATGCAGGCCCAATTGGAAGCTCATTACATTAACCCAAACTGGCCCAAATTGATTACAAGTTCAAGACCAAGCCCAAAGCACTAAACCCGATCTAAGTGAAGCCCCTTGAGGTTGTCACCCATGCTATTTCAAACTGCCCACGTGAAGCAGCTCGATTACCCATCCCAGCGTGACATGCTCCCACATGAAGACACAACAGTTATCTCCCACGTGAAACACTGACCAATCACAACACCCACGAGTGTCCATGCTTGCCCCGATAACACCCACATCGCTCCATGTGTAGCACCACAATTGAGTTGCCCAAGTGGAAACATGGCTCTGTTGTCCATGCTCCATTATCTTCACTACCCAGGAAAGCACCAAGCACGAGCAGAACAACTCAGTTTCCCACTGCTCCATTACTCATGCCAACCCCGTGCCCATACTCTGGCACCCTGAAAAACAGCAGACAACTATTAAAAAAAGCAATCAGAACAAAATGAGGGAACATAATATTACGAGAAACACGAACGGCAGAGGGGGGACCAGCTATTATAAAAAAACAGAGAACATGATATTAGGGGAAATCATTCGAACAACCGGGGGGGGGAGGCTCAGTTTTTCAACAGGAACGGGTTCAAGCAAGAGGGAGAACAATAGCACCAGAAGGCAACAATTTGCACAAGTTTCCTCAGCAACCATTCGAATAACATGGGGGATCTTGACTATTTTTTTGAAATCAAAGCAATCGATGTAAGGGGTTCTTAACCATTTTCGAAATGGAAAAAGCAGTGTAAATCAAGGGTATTCTTCCCTTTATTTTTGAATGCACAGAAAGGAAAGCAATAGAAACGAATTAAAATCGGAAGTATCTCAATTCTTCTTTTGTTTTTGTTTTTTTACATGCATGTTCTTAAATCTAAAAAAAACCAAAAGCAGAATAAAAGGGTAGGAATTTTCGATCTAGTTTACCTTGTAGTGTTAGGGTAGTAGCCGGATAAGTACAGAGTCATCGTTGAAGGCCGCGGTGGTATCGTGGTTTAACAGTGAGATTGGATTTTGTTTTAGCCCTTTGGTTTTAGTTTATGTTGTGAGAGGTTTAGGGTTTATGTTTGTTTACGGGTGAGGTTAATGCTAGTGTGGCTCCTCACCAGAGTCGTAGAATGGCGGGAACCATAGAGGCTTTGGGGTTTAGGCTCTTCGTCGATGGCTATGGGAGAAAATGAAAGGAGAAGTAGATGTTAGGTTGGCTTGCGGCTAAAGCTGGTATGAATGATAACTAGGGTTTTAATTTTAGTTTAAGTAGGGTTATAAGCAAAGCATAAAACGGCGTCGTATAGGAGTTTAGGATTCCCCGTTCCCCGCTTGGGTTATTCTCTGTTTAGGTCATTCTAGTTTTATATTACATTTCATTTTAGTCCCTAATCGAATGTTTTCATGTTTTTAAATTTGTCCCGTTATCTTGTGCGCATTTAATTTCATCCTTAATTAGTCTTGTATTTAGTTTCTGTTGTTTAGACATTTCACTTTTAATTTTTGCATGTTTCGTTTTAGTCCTTAATTCGAATGTTTCTGTGTTTTTAATTTAGTTTCTTTATTTTAAGTGTGTTCAATTTTAGTCCTAAGTTTTGTTGTAGTAGAATCTTTGTTGTTTTAAACATTTGACCTTCGTGTTTTGCATATTACACTTTAGTCCTATGTATGTCTAGGGTTTATTCCAGTTTTAATCTTTCATGTTGGTGTTGCTTTATTTCAGTTTCATTGTTTACTCATATATTCATTTCAATTATTATTTTTTTATGTTTTAGATATTAAAATTCAGTTTAATATGATTTGGTCATTAGTTTAACATGTATAGTTTTTCTCATAGTTTGGTATGTTATGTTTTTATTTAAGTCTCATTAGTATGTTATGTATTAATATATATTAAGTAATGTTATTGCATGTTAATTTTTCATACATTATTTATTAATTAGATAATTTTTAATGTTGTATGTTAACCTCACGTGCATAACTCGAAATTATTACATAATTTGATTAAGGGTAATATCCTTTTAATTTAAAATTGTTTTAAGTGGGTTGTCTTAACTGATTAGATATCCGCTTTTGACGATTTTAAAGTAGAAGTATATCCCATTAGTGATACCTAAAAATTGATCCGTCATTTTAAAATTTGGGAATGGAAGAAAAACAAATGTTCGGTTATTTAAATTTATCGAGAAAATGTTGTTATAACTATTTAAGACCTGGTCTCTATATTTTTAAATAATCAAACATTCTTTATCTTTCTAAAGACTTGATAATTTTAATTTAATCTATTTTGGTGATTTTGAATATAATATGTTGTTGTGTTGTTGGGGATCATGAATCAAATTAAAAACGAATTTGTAAATTCCATTGCAAAGACATTAATTAATCGACGATGTACTGATTTAGGGCGCTGTGGGGGTGCAAATCCTTCCCCACACGTAATCGACTCCCGAACCCATTTTTGGTAATGCAGACCTCAATTTGTTGTTTTAATTAAAATTAATTTTTATTTAAAATAACAAAACATTTTGGGTGTCCGATCACACCCTAATCAAAGATCGGTGGCGACTATTTGAATCCGTGTTTTTTATCGTAAAAGAATTTCCAAATTTTCGAAACGAGAGGTTTTCTAAAATCGCATTTGTTTTTAACTAAAAATCAATCAAAGAAATAAATAATTAAAAGAAAATTCGGGTATGACACACGGCCCAACGGGTTTGGTCGTGACAATCAGAGTAGGGGATCATATGGGTTCAAGTTCCAGTTCTGGGTCATGGCACCAAACAAAGCCTATATATTTAGATGACTTATCATGTGCTCCATAACTAGGGATTGCAACGGGCCGAGTTCGAGCCGGGTATTGGTCTCCCCGTCCCCGTCCCCGTTTAAAAAATCGGTACTTATCCTCGTTTAAAGAATCGCGATGATTTAAACGGGGATCCCCATCGGGTAATCAGGGAAAACCGCGGGGAAACGGGTATCCCCGTTTAGCATAAACGTTTATTTAAACGGGTATCGGTAGGGTTGTTCATTCGGTGGCCGAACCGACCGAACTATCATTAACCGAATTAACCGAATTTTTTTTCTTTAACCGTTAATCGAACCAAATTTTTTTTCAAAAATATTAATCGAACCGAATAAATTTCGGTTAATTCGGTTAATTTTTGAATTAACCGAAATTTTTTAGAATTTTCGAATTTAATACTATAGAGCAGTTGTTGTTCCATTTGCTAGGGAAGAACGTGATGTTGGTATAGGTCCCGATGCTGATTTTAATATGGCTAATTCACATGCTTCGTTTTGTCAGAGGAACGTTAAAGCTTGTGTAATGGAGACAGCTTGTATGAGGTTATTGGAATGCGAGGTGAAAATGAGGGTTGATGTCGAAGAGACGAAGACAATATGCAAGTTGTATTGATTTTAAATTCTGCTGGACATAATTTCCAGCTTGCCAATGCTAGTGGTGGGCTTCAGGTGTGCAATGGTGTACTGGACGAGGACCCTGCAGCAAGTACACGTTCGTTGGAAGTGGCACAATACCACCAAACCAACCAGACTTTTCCCATTTAACTAGACAATGTTTGTCTATTAAAAGATATTAAAGGTTCACACGTGATTGCAAACAAGAAGTGTAAGCACTATTTTTACGATTAAAAGAAAAAAAGAATATTATGAGACAGCAAAAATTGAGGTAAATTCTAGAAATTGAAGCGGGGACGATGTTTTAAAGTGGGCAGTATGGGGTGAAAAAAATAATAAAAAATATTTAAGGGTTAATTTAAAATATGTTATTAATATTATATATAAAAAAATAATTATTTTTAATATTTATCGGGTCGGGTATCGGGACGGGTAATCAGGGCGGGGATTACCAAACCCATCCCCGTTATCATTCCCAAACCCGACCCGTTAAATTCAATTTTCAATTTTCCCTATCGAATTCAAATTTTTTTGCCATCCCTATCCATATCCCTAATAAACCACGTTGGCTGCAACTAAAAATCTATTTAGATTCGACAACTTAACCATTTTTAGGAACAACAAAGCTGTCAGTGCTGGCAAAAGGACAAGCAAATACAAAGCCTGCAACTTTCATTCATCGCTGTCCTCGGTATCATATTCACGTATTCATCCATAAAATTTTAAAATATTTACGAAATAAAATATTAAACATTTATAGTATTAATAATTAGTTAATTTAATAATATGAGATATTAAGTAAGATTAGAAATTTAAAATTTTGATATTGTAAATTAAATAAACTGTATTGAGAGAGCCATCCTCTTAAACAGACATTTACAATTCTTGGTCTATATAAAAAAATTACAACATTTTATAATGCCAGAATCCACTCAACATACCACGAAATCTATTGGCAGATAATTTCCTTACAAGTCTTTTGGCATCACAAACTTCAGCTTCAGCAAGTTTCTCTATGTTCTTTAGGTAACCAGAACTTGCAATTTTTCTTCTCCCACTCTTGCAATTTGTCAATGACATTAATATAGATAGCAATAGCTTTCTGTTACTACCTGAAATGCCTTCCTCTTGATCAAGCAATTGAAGAAGGAACCCTATGTTCTGATCATCTTGGACGAATCGTTTTCGGTTTTTGGAAACCGAGACCAAGCTCGAGAGTGCCTCAGTTGCCACCCTGCGCACTTCGTGTGACTTTGCATCGAGCAATTTCATGAGCTCGGGCATGAAACCGGCATCCCCCATTGATTTCTTAGCTTCTTCTGATGCACCACAAAGCCTAGATGTCACCTTTAGTGCCGATTCTTGAACCGAAACTTCGCCGTTGCATAAGAACAACAACAATCGATCGATGAAACCGTGATCCATCAACACATCGATGCTGTTTCGTGATGAAAAACATAGATTCTCAATTGCCCTTAATGATACTTCTCTTGTTTTCGAACAGGTAGCTGATTTCGGATCCAAATGGTGTACCAACACGCCGATCCCTCCTTCGCCGACGACCGTTTCACGAACCGATTCGTCGCCAGAAGCTATGTTTTGAAGGAACTCTATTGAATTTATCTGCACAATGTCGTCTTTCGATCTTGCGAGCTCGATGAACGTCGATATCGCTCCTCCCTCAACCATGAACCTCTTGATTTCTTCGATGCCGATGAGATTTCTCAACACTCCGCAAGCCGGACGGATCAATTCGCCACCGGAATCACCATTGGAACAAATTTTCAACAAAGCAGTCACCCCACCATGAGCCGAAACAGACCACGCATTGTCTGCATTAACAGTCAACTTTTGAAGACACTTTGCAGCATCTTCTTTACCCAAATCACTACCATTTTCAAGAACCCTAATCAAATTCCCGATAATCCCAGCTCTAACTAAAAACCCTTTACACAAATCAAACCCAGAGATTAAAAACACAATCTTTGAAGCCTGTTCTTGGATCTCCATCTCCGATGAATCAAGAGACTCCATTAAAACATACAAAAATTCACTATTTTCAACCACGATTTTAACATACCTTTCATCATCAGCCATTGCTTGATATAAACTACCCAAAGCTTGCCTTTTCATCTCTGTATCACCAATCTTTATCCTTGTCAACAAATCCCTTACATAGAACCTCATGTCTTCTTTGCAAGCACCAAGGCCTGGTTTTGAAACAACAATGGCGAAACCACTGCTCAAAATCCCAGCAGCGTAAATCCCAGAAATATTCTTCACATGCGAATCGAATTTCGCAACGATGACATCAAGGTCGCTTTGCATCAAGAGCTTCCCGTTATAAGAAAGTTCGACACATCTTCTTGCGAGATCATAACATTCGTTTACAGTGACCAAAATGGAAGAAAAATCACAGCTTGAGCCAGAGGTTTCAATGGCCATCAACCCATAACTCAACTCCTCAAGCTTCTTTCGAATAACTTGCCATTTAACATTGAAAACTTTGATTGAATGAGAAAGAGAAATCAAAGAAGATATATCCTCCATAACTTGCCTTGCTTTCTCTTCTTCACCCATTTTGCTGTTCTACTCACTAATATTAAACAAACCCCATTTTACTTTTGATGAAAGGAATCAAAGGAAAGGCATTGGCCGTATATCTATGGAGTTATCTCTTTGTTCTGCAGCTGAAAGTCTGAATCTTTTGGGGGATTGTGAAATAGAGACAAGTCAATAGGAAGAAGAGAAGGGCAATTCTGTCATGGTGAAAAGGTGGATGAAGCTCAGAATGTTGCGAGGTGGAAGAAGATATGATTAAAGGTAAAAAGTGCACACCAATGGACTTGCATTGGCTTTGGGTAGAGCTGAGTTATTATATATGTTCAGATTTCAGAATAAAAAATCCGGTAAAATCTTCAGCAGTTATGATGACAGCAAAGAATATCTAAGTTCGAGTTTAGAATCCAACTTCTACTACGACTTTAATGTTTGATCTAAATTAGTTAATCATTAAATTAATTGTTAAATACATAATAACATAAAACTATGAAAATACCCTCGAAACAAGACAATTGCTATGTCTAATTCTATGATAGGACTTTCGTTACCAGACAAAATGTCCCCCATTGTCATGTAACTATGGGTCACGGATCAATATTTTAAGAAATCTTGCCACGACAACTTATGTTTAATTTACACCCAAGTCTATGGGATTTGATTAAATAGTTAGGAAAATTATACGACGTTCGTTGAACATTATTAATAATGAGCACCATCGAACACTGTTAATTTAATTTAAAAAATTTAAAGTTGTAAAGGGCTCAACATATAATTATAAATTAATTGAACATCTAACGTTAAATTTTAAAATAAAATATTAATTACATTGTTTTCCATAATCATTTTTTAACAATAATTGGATCAAATATCAACTCCTAAATTAAACAACCCTAAATATTTTTTCATTATTTAAAAATTTATCTTTAAATTTTTAATTAATTTACAATTATATGCTGAGCCCTTTAAAATTTTAAATTTTTATAAATTTATAAATTTTTCAACGGTATTCATTGTTAGTGGTGCTCAACGGTGCTCGTCAAGCATAGCAGACCAATCCAAATAATTATATTTAACTTCTTCTTTTTTAATTAACAAAACTATGAAGGTTGTCTTCCTGCATTAACGTCGACACCAAAGTAGGCGGGTGATCAAAGTAGTGCAGGCTAAAAGGTTCCGACCAAGAAAGTTTTTCCATAGCATCCGCAACTCTATTGCCGTCACGTAAAACATGAGAGAAATGGATGGGCCATTGCCACGAAGTAGTTTCCATCAAATGAGGGACCATATGTGAGCTTCCCACCACGTTCTTTCCGCGCTGAAGTAAATCAAAGGCTTCCCTGCCGTCCGTTTCAACGATAACCTATTTTAGTCCCATCTCCCAGGCTATATTCAAGCCCTTGTAGATGCCTCTGAGCTCAACATCGAGGATTAAACAACAACCAATCGATCGTGAGAATCTTTTAACCTAATTACTGGTTGAATCTCTCATGATTCCTCCACAAGCAGCCAACCCAGATGAAGGTATATGTGTTCCATCAACATTGATTATAACCCAACCCGGTCCAGGCGGTTTTCAAGTCCTGTTATGCTGCGACATCCGCTGGTGGCCAGGTCTGGAAATTACATTCAATTCACGTGCATTCCGCGTCTCCATGCACATTCAGCTGCTACGTTGTGTAATACTTTCAGTTTCCGTTAAGTCTGGTTCGAATATGGATTTATTCCGACGAGTTCATAGACACCAAAGGATCAAACCAAACATAATCTCTCAGCTCTCACCATTTAGCAGTGGGAAGTAATTCGGATTCTGCAGATTAGTTCAGATCCATTTTCTTATATCCATATCAAGAAATTCCTCCAGACGGTCGGGTTTGATTAAGTCCAAGTCCCATAGGCAGCATCACACCCCCGGAAAATATGTGATATTGATTCCTTTTGGGCACCACAGTATTCACAACAAGGGATGTCTGCAATATGTCTTCGAGTCATTTACACATTATTCATCAAACAATCGCATAAATTAAAATTAAGATTAACAATCATAATCATAAATTAAGCATATAATTAAGACAATTTCATATAATCATTTAAACAAAAACTAGTAACTTAAGATCATATAAGAATCATATAAGAAAAAATAAAAAAAAAATCTAATAAAAAAACTTAAACAATGATAAATATAAAAAAATCTAATTGCATTGAAAAACAAATCTCAAAAGGAGATCAAGCTACTGAAAGACCATAGACAAACTACAAACCAAACTTGAGATGAAAAACTATTCATGAAGGCAAATTGGGTATCCAAAGCATGGAAGATCAACAACAACAAAAACAAATAAATGTCATATTGATCAGTCGTGACAATGTCAAATCAATCGTTAAAAAAATAAATAAAGGTCAAACAACTTAAAAACATACCAAAAGACAAAAAAATATACCATAAACACATTAACAAGTGTCATACAATCAAATTTATTAAAAATAAAATAAAAATGTGATATAAGAAATATATATATATAATAAAAAAGTAAAATTATCAAATTAACATTAAAGTTGATATCACCCTCGATCGATAAAGAAAAAAAAACGAATGAATAGCACAACAATCTTTAGGGAGAATATATAAATAGGAAAATATATAAGGTTTGCATATTTTTTATAAATTAGATCAATTCTTTAATTGTTTAGGTGATGACAACATCGATTTTGACGTTAATCATCGATTATTATTTTCTTTAAATAGAATAACATTATTTTAGTTATATATTTTCTTCTGTATTTGTGGTATGTTTTTCTTTGTTTTTATTATATGTTTTTATGTATTCTTTCTCGGTCGATTGATCCTTTTTGTTTTATGTTTTCTCGGGGTTGGATTTAACGACGCCACGACTGATTAAGATGGCACTTATTTATAATCGTGTTGATCTTCCTTGTTATAGACCTTCATATTAAATTTAGATACGCGATTTTACATTCGTAGATAATTTATCAAGATTCGACTTTAATTTATGGCTCCCTATAATCTTTCAATAACTTAATTGCCTTGTATCAATGTTATTGAGAAATGTCAAACATTATATATTTAGTTTATATTAATAGTTATAAATCTTTATTATAATTTTAGATATTTTACTTTTTGTTAATAATATAAGAATAACTGTTTTTTTCTAGAAATATATATACTATTTTGCATGGTTTTCAGAACTGGACCGGTTAGCGGACCGGTCATGTTATCGGTTCACTGGTTCAACCGGTCGAACCAGTTGGAAGAACCAGACGACGTCATAATTATTTAAAAAATTAAATAAAAATACCAAAAATATTTAATAAAAAATAATTTTGTATATCACAAGTCATATTCAAAGCAAGTCATAACATATATAAGTTAAAAACCATAAAATCAAGTGAAACAAAATGATTCAAATTAACTAAAACATAATATTTAAGGTAAAACATATTAAATAATAAATATAATTATATAACTATAATTAAAAAATAAATTTGGGGCTAAAAAAATCATAAAAAAATGATATTGTTTGGTTTAATTTTTTTAAAAAAACAATCTCACATGGCTAAGAAACATAGAAGAGCATCCCAACTAACTTTTATAAATAATAGAGGTAATTTGGCATTCAAAATCATTGAGCCTTTTGGTGAGCATAGAGTGAATTATTCTTTCACTCCAATCAAGCTCGAATTTTAGGCTTCAATCGAGCTTCTAAATTTTTTTTTAGTTCAAGTCTTTTCGAGTTCAAGTTTCAATATTATATTTCGAGTTCGAGTTGAACTTAATAATTTTTAGTTTGTGAGTTTGAGTCGAGTTGAGCTTACTTTTAAAGTTTTAGTCAAGCTTAGCATTACTCGAGTTCGACTTGGCTCGTTTAACAAACGACGTCGTTTGGTTTAATTTTTTTTAAATAAAATTGGCGGTTTTTTCCGGGTTTTCCCGGTTTTTCCGGTTTTCAGCCGATCCGGTTCGAACGGTTCAGCGGTTCCGGCCGGTTCACTAGTATTGGTTCAACCGATGTAGTTTGAACCAGATTAGACAACGGTTCCCGGTTGAACCGGCCGGTCAGATTCGGTTTTCACTGCTATTTTGGCACAGAATTGGAAAGGGTGCACTTTATAATTCTCTACTGAAATAATTGGTCTAATTCAAGTTAAACATGTGATTAAATCCTTTAATTTTAATTGAGATAAATATCAAAATTATACAGGAACTTTCATCAAACATACAATGCATTATATAAAGTTAAACATGAGACCTCAAATTCCAGAGACCTCAACCTAACTATTAAGACAAAGACCTCATTATATACTTGTATAATGTTTTTGGCAGGCTCAGGTCAATAACAATGTGTATTATTACTACTGATGTGTTAATAATATGGAATGTTCATTAACAATAATGATTATAGTATTTACAAAATAATTAAATTCTATATTATCACTTTCATCTACAATAAAGCGATGTAGGACATTTTTGTTCACTCGTGGTAAAGTTGTTTGTTTTCTTTACAAAAGTCAATGTTGATATAGGGCCATGGAGGCCCTAAAACTCTAAGATAACATAATGTTTGTGTTTTTTAATGCCATGAGAGGCGTTAGGTACAAACACATTGTGTGCAAAAGCAAGAAAGATAAGACCTTTTAAGTGGGGCAGATGGGGAAAATTCCAAACATATGCAAACTTACATAGTGCCTTTGCTTCAAAGATGGTATAGGTAATAAGTAGGAGTATAATTGAAGTTCATCGTCTACTCTAAAGCAAGGAGATAGAAGTGTTGGAAAAAAAAAGGGTGAATTATTTGATGAATTTAATCTTTATATTAAATCCACAGTCCTTTTAAATATTACAAATTAAAAGGTATTATTTAGTTTGAATATTAATATGATAATTACTCTTTGAATATATGTAAATTTAAAAAAGTATTTGTTACCTTTTTTTAATTTTAAATATTAAAGATAACTATATACTTTTGTATATTTCAAATTAAAATAATATTCATTTGTTTTGAATAACAAAAAGAGGATAATTTGTTTAATATTTTAAATTTAAAAGATATTATTATATGTTTAAATTTAGAAAAGAGATTTAGTTAGAGTAAACTCTCTTGAAAATCCCCTATAAATACTGGGAAACTTGTTAGGTTTTTCATATCTCAAAATTCAAGAAGTTTTCTTCTCTTGAAAAATATTTTCTCTCATTCTCATAAAATATTTTGTTTATCCCTTAGTTTTTCGATGATAGTCGAAGGTAAGGAAAGTTCGTGATCCCTGTTGTGCTACTATAGCTGATCATCTAGTTGTTGTACCCATAAGAATGATACTCGCAATTGCCACTTTGCGAAATCTAGAAGTGCATCAAATGGATGTTAAAACAACTTTCCTAAATGGAGACATTGACGAAGAAATTTATATAAAACAACCTGAGAGTCATGTAGTTCTAGGTCAAGAAATGAAAGTTTGTATATTGGTGAAGTCTTTTTATGGACTTAAACAAGCACCGAAACAATGACATGAGAAGTTTGATATTGTCATGATGACAAATGACTTTAAAATAAATGTGTGACAAGTGTGTATATGCCAAAACTACAAACATAGAATATGTTATTCTATGCTTGTATGTTAATGACATACTCATTGTTGGGAGTAATAATGAAAAAGTAAAATGTACCAAAGATATGTTAAATTCAAGATTTTATATGAAAGGCATGGGATTGGCTGAGACGATTCTGGGCATCCAAATTAAAAGGTCATTTAAAGGCCTTATTTTAACACAGTCACACTAAGTGGATAAGATCCTTGATAAATTTGACAAGGATGATTCTGGTATAGTCATAACTACAATAGACTCATGTTCACATTTGTCTAAAAATCAAGGTGAAAGTGTTCACCAGGTGGAATATGCAAGGGTTATATGCAGCTTAATGTATCTCATGAGTTGTACGATACCAAACATCGCTTTTACTGTGAGCAGCAATCTAAACATATTCATTAGCAATCCAGGTGAAAATCACTGGAAAGAGATAAAAATGATACTAAGATATCTTAGATATATTTGAGATTATGTGTTGCGTTATTTCATAGATCCTACAGTCTTAGAAAGATCCTACAGTCTTAGAAGGATACTCTGATGTTAGTTGGATATCTGATATTCAAGATGCCAAAGGTACAAGTGAATATGTATTCACTTTTGGAGGAGTTGTTTCTTAGAAATCCTAAAGACAAACGATTATAACTATATCCATAATAGAATCCGGGTATGTAGCTCGAGACAAATCTTGAGAAGAAACATAATGACGTGGGAACTTTCTTGAGGATATTTCAGAATTCAAGAAGTTTTCTTCTTTTGAAAAATATTTTCTTTCATTCTTAGAAAATATTTTTTTGTTTAGTTTTTCCAGTCATAGTCAAAGGCAAGTAAAGTTCGTGATCTCTACTATTGTGCTACTGTAGCCGATCGTCTAGTTGTTGTATCTTGTGAGACAAACAACCAAAAGATATCGAGCAACAAAGAGTGACCAAAAATTTATCTTAAGAAAATTGTGTAACGACAGACCTCAACTAATTCAGATCGATAGATTAAATATAAAAAAGTATTTTATTTCCTTTCTAAATCTCTTTTATTTTGAAGAATTTGATTTCTTTTTTTCTTTTACTTTTTCTTAGGTTCCAATTTAGTCTCTGATTGTTACTTTGGTTAATAAGAAGCGTTGTAAGGACCCAGAAGCGAATCAATTGTTTGATCAAAATACAAAGGGCAAGAAACATATGAAACTAGTCATACAATTACTACCACAAACTCAAGCACCCATTTCCTAATGTTTTTTTTTTCTATATAAAGCTTCCATCATATAGTTTCAAGTCTGCAATGCCTTTGTCTTCATGCTCCTTTCTCCATGGTAGAGGGAAAAGCAATTGTAGGTGAGACCGACATGCTCAAGAGTCAAGACAATGCAGAAGGATGCACTTCACCTAGCTGCAAAGATTCTTGACATCTTAGAAGCCACTGAATCAACTGATATAGTCCAATTTATAAAAAAAAATGGTTAGGGATCTAAGTTATCGTTTACAGGAACATGGTATGAGGCATTGGATTCATGAGAAACTAAAAACAGTGTGCATCTTGCTGTCTGTTCTGTGTGCAGGATTTTGACAGGGGGTATCGACCTGGGTGGCAATGTGATGCAGTGACAGATTTTAGTTCGTTTGTGACGCCCAACCATGGCTGCATCATACACTTCTGCATTGGCAGTTTCACGATCTAGCTCTTCAGGGGTGCAGTAAATCAAGCACGCGAGGCAAATTTGTTCCCGACGTTAGCGGCTTTAGAGGCTTAGACTGTCCAAAGTTTAATGATTTTCTGTTTGCCTGGTACCTTAAAAAAGGAAGAAACAGGGTCGAAAATCAGTTCTAAGTTCTGCAAATCGCCATGCATAGTATTAATGAATAAAGACAAACACGTTTCTGAAAGAGAGCACATGTTTCTGAAAGAGAGAGATTACCAACCATTTCAGAGAGTAAGGACAGATCGCGGGGCATCCCTCCTTGGGCCTGCAATCGAACGATAAACATAGACTTTATCAGCTTGACTATCATCACTTCCATCCTCCTTCATTACCTCAATATTCAACCGAGGCATCTCCCTCGCAAGTAGCCTACAACCATTCATTGTCACATTGCAGGCCGACATCCAAAGTGACCTCATAGATTCGTATTTCTCCAAACCCGACAGCAGTGCTGCGTTTCCGAACGGACAGTCTCTTATCTCGAGTTTCCTTAGTTTTGGACAACCACCCAGAACACATTGCATCCCCCAGTCACTGCTGCCGGCAAAAGCCACTGAAAGCGTCTCTAAGTTCTTAGCATATCTACCGATATACTCAAATGTCCGATCAGTTAAGCGACCTGAAACTGAAAGCCTCTGAAGTTTAGTGCAGGTTTTAACCACAGCACCAAAAGCTTCATCCATAGGTTCATTTGTGAGATGATCCGGTTGACCTGGGTTCATTATGCATAATCGGAAATGCGTAAAATCGGGGCAGTTCTGTACAATGGTTGCTACAGCAGCATTTGTCATTTGACGACAGAAATAGAGGACATAATGGAGTCTTGGGCAACCAAAAGACACGGCCACAAACCCAGCGTCAGTGACTCCATGTACAATTTCATCATCAAACGGATCAGCAGGGAAAACTCGCAGTTCCTCGAGCAAAGGGCAGTTCAATCCAACGGCTTCCAGTCCTTTGTCTTCGACCGTGTCCAAGACCTATAACAAAAGAAAATTTTACAAAGTTCAGCTCACCACAATTGTTTTGCTCAAACAACAGAGAAAAAGGAAAGACTCGAATGAAAGGAGTCTTCTTACCCATAGGTGTTTAAGTCGTCGACGGTGAGGAAGAAGCTTAGCCAGTTCAAGACTTTGCAAAGCAGCATAGCTCAAGTTCAAGAACGTTAGATGCGTGCATGCAGGGTACAAGGCCGGGAGATATATGCCCTTGGCATCCCACAGACCAGATAGCGTATGCATATTCTTGCAATTGCTTAATGCGCTTTCGAGCTCTTCGTATTCACGGACAATAAGTTCCTGCGAGAATGAACCCGTACCGAGCTCAGCTAATCGAGGGGCATTAACAAGAAGTCTCTGTAATTGTTCCAAGGACACGCTCCGGTTCAACTTTAAGACCCTCATCGACTTGCACCTACCGACGAGCTTTTCAAGCGCATCGAAATTAATATCGCTAGTCAAGTTGGCAAAGTTGAGAACTTCCAACGACGTGAAGCTCTCCGGGAAGCAGCTCAACCAACTACCTCCTATATCATCAATGTCATTCTCCTGTATGTCAAGCTCAGTCAAGTTCCTGCAACCGAAAATCGGAAGTTAGAAACCGAAATTTGGAGCAGACTCAACAATGCTCAAAACATTAACATGTCTACAGGTAAATTAGCAGTACGAAACCAAGTAGGTGGATTTGTTCATCGATCATTCCTAAAGAACAGATAAAAGATGTAAATTCTTCCAACCGATGAGAATAGGCATATCAGGGAAGGATATGCCCACAATAAATGCATAATAAAAGCTTCAATGTCACATCAAATTAAAAGGAGGACAAAGAAAGTGAAAGCATTGGGAAAGTAGGAGCTGTTTCATTTCTAGTTTCCACTAAAATTACTTATCATTCCTCTCTTAAAGGATAAGAAATATTAAAATCTTAAAAATTATAAAATAGAAATTTTAATAAACTTAAACGGATAATCACTTGTAAATATTTATCTTCTGATTAAAAAATAAATATTTTTCTAAACAAAGTATACTACCTTAGGAAAAGGAGACTTCCATCAATCTTATGTTTCATCTCAAGTAGAAATTAGTTGTATAAGTTTGGGTTTCAGAGTTTGAATTTTGTTATTGTAAATAAAATAAATTAATATTAGATTATTATTCTATTAATAATATTCCATCTGAATTAATTGAAGAAATATCAATAGTTAACCTAAAAAAATCTACTTTACATCACTAATGAAGTTAGAAGAGAAAAATTAGATCAATGGATTGAATACTTATTAACAGCCATAACTGTACCGTAAAAGTAGAAGTATTTTCTATTTTACCATGTAATTTCCCAATAATGAAAAACGACATCGATAATAAGACTTTCATAGGAAATGATACTTGAAAATCACAGGAAATTGTCACATCCCAAGAAATAAACATACAAAAACTGAAAAAGGAAGATTTTTTCAACGATTTCCATCACTGGAAAATGAAAAAGAATGGATTTTTGAAGTATAATTAGTGACGAACTTACTTGCAATGAGTGGCAATGGCGGCGAGTCCGTTAGTGCTAAAACCGTCGCAGCTTAAAAGAGAAAGAGCTTTGAAGTTAGGAAAAGACACGGCGAGGAACTCCAAGCTTTGGTCGTTGATCGCCATTCGCTTGAGCCTAAGCTCTTCGAGGAACGGATACTTGGCCGCGAAAACGACCAGCCACGCGTGGATATTGGCGCCCCAGTTTTCCGGCACCAGGTTGAAATCGGAAAATCGAGGCTTCCCCTTCAACGTCACGCTCCTGATTCTCGAGAACCGCCGCACGACGATCTCCTGTGAAACGGAGTAACAGTTCCCGATGAAAACGTTGGTTCTCGACCACCGTTCCGCGTGATACCAGTCCTTGCAAACCAAAGAGGCGGAGCTCCGGTCCCTGTGAGATTTCAAACGTGACAGAACTCGCTCCAGCACTTCGTCGGGAAATGAGGACCAGTGAGCTGACTGGTCCGAGTTCACCGAGTCCTTCGACCTCTTAAGCTCGAATGATTCCATTTCAACGATGAAGATTCAAGCTTTAAAGCCGGGCACCCAATAACCCGAACCGGAGATCCAAACTGAAAATGAAAGCGTTCTCTCTCTTTTTCGCAGATTATAATTGTAAAAGGCTTTGATTTGTGAACTACCGGCAAAACTTTCGAGATAATGTTCTCGAATTTTTTATTTAACGATATAACGTATTCTCAAGATTAATTTTTTAAATAGGACGAATTGCACAGTGTTGGCCGTAGGTCGTCATGCCTTCCGGGCAACCTTCGACGTGGCAGCTTCCCAGCATAGGTCGTCATGCCCTCCGGGCGACCTTGTCCTACGCCCTGCTCCCCGCTGCATGCTCGCCTGCTCCCCACTGCATGCAGGTGACCTCTTCCGACGTGCATGTCAACCTCTTCCGACATGCATGGCGCATGCAAAGCTTCATCCTCTCACCACAGCTCGTAGCAAAACTTCATCCTCTCGCCACAGCTCGTATAGAACACTTTTGTCGTGATTTCATTGTTGCATGCATGAGGGAGACAGGGGTGAGGGAGGCAGAGCCACCTTTGTCGTGATTTCAGCAGAATCACGGAAGAGTTCGAGCCGCTCGCATGGCGAACTACAAGGTCGCACCGAGTGTATGGCGACCTATAATCTCGTTTGGCTTGCATGGCGACCAATCCATGCATTGTATAATTCACACCATTTGAACAATTATTTCTTGGACAACATTATTACGTGAATTATTTTTTTTCACAGCAATATCTCGTGAGTTTTGCCGTGAATGAGCTAACGAAGAAGGTAAAGCAACATCTTGCGTATTATGGTAAAAGGAGAGGAAATATATAAATAAATCAGTTTAAGAAAAAAGTTCAAGCTTTTTTATTATTTTATTGTTTTATTTAATAATCGCTGATTACATTATTCTAATAATATAATATATCGGCTGAATTTACGAGATAATGTTGTGAGAAAAAAAATCACGAGATAACGCATTCCAACAATTAATTGTTGAGATAAGGTGTTTGCTACAGTTCGAATATAGATCGTCAGGTGATCTGGGCGACCAATGAAGGTCGCCAGGTGGTCTGGGCGACCAATGAAGGTCGCCATGTATGTTGGGCGTAATGCGTTTGGGTTTGGGTTGTTTCACAAACAAAATGTAGTGTTCTCATCTTAGTCAAACACTAGTTGTTTGGGTTAAATGCAAATTTGGTCCTCACAACTTTACACTCTCATACGCGTGTTTTAATATTTAGGGGATAATAGCATTTTCGGTCCCCTATGCTTTGTAATCTATTTGTTTAATCATTTAGTGACATTTTTAATGTTTTGTTTCAGGCATGTATATTTTAATAATTATATTTTAGTCACTAGTTGTTTATTCTGTCAAGTTTGTGTATGCTTCATTTTGATCATAATATTTTTAGCTATTTCATTTTAATCACTGATTTCATGTGTTTTATATATTTTCCTTAATTTTCAAAATTGGCCATGAAATTTGTAAACATGTTATTTTAGCCACTGTTTAGTATTTATGTTTAATTATAATTTAGTCATACATGTTTCTTGTTTATCCTATTTTAGTATGTATTTATTTCTCCCTACCAACGATATTATTTTGCAAATTTTTCCAATATAAAATAAAACTAAATAAAACTAAAAAATAGTGAAAAATACTCGAAATAAATAAACGTAGAACAAATAAAAATTATTGAATACAAAACAAGATATCCCAATAATCAATTTTAAAATAAATACATACTAAAATAGGATAAACAAGAAACATGTATGACTAAATTATAATTGTTTGTGACTAAAATAAATACATGTATGAGAGTGCAAAGTTATGAGGACCAAATTTGCATTTAACCCAAACAATTATTGTTTGACTAGGAAGAGATAACACTACATTTTGTTTCTCCCAAACTCAAACGGCATGGCGCCCAGACCACCTGGCGACCTTCATTGGTCCCCAGATCACCTGGCGATCTATATTCGACCTGTAGCAAACACCCTATCTCAACAATTAATTGTTGGAAAGCGTTACCTCGTGATTTTTTTTTCTCACAACATTATCTCGTAAATTCAGCCTAATATATCGCTCGTTAAATTTAAAAGTGAGCTGCAATTATTGATTTTATTATTTAAATATAGTGATTATATAAATTATTTATTGATATAACATGCATTAAAGATTATTTAGATATATATATTATTTCCGTCTCATAAAAAAGTGTTTTTATTAAAATTTTAAAAGTTAATTTTTAAATTTTAATTTTTTATTTGAATTATTTTAAATAATTAAATTTTATAAGATATATATTTAAAAGTTATTGTATTGAAGACTTTTTAGAATATATTTTTCTATATTTTTAACAATAATAAATTTTAAAAATTAATAACAAATAATTTTAATGAGAAAAAAAATAGTTATTTTTCCTGATTAGATTGAATGAAAATTTCTTCAAACACATATTTTAGAATTTATATAATGAATCTTTATTATATATGTTATCTCATTCAGTAAATTTTTAGAGTTGATTGTATCATATGTTCTCAAATTATAATATTTATTTTAAATTGGTATCTAAACTTCAAAAATATTTGATGCCATCCTTAAACTATTACTATAATTCTAAATTAATCCTTAAACTTTTGAATAGTTCAATTTCATCTCTAAACTATTGCTTTCATTCTATATTGATCCCATAACTTTTTGAGCATTCCAATTTCATCCCAAACTATATATATATTCTTATCATATCCCTTGTTAATAAAATCGTTAGGCCAAGTTATATTATTGTATGTTTGAAAAAATAAAATTTAAATTAAATTATGGTTGAAACTAATCACATATTTGGATGAATTCAGGGGTGACGTTGGCATATTTAAAATTTTAGGGACTAATTTAGAAAGAGGGTCATGGTGTAGGGATAAATTAGAATGTTCAAAAGGTTAAGGACTAATTTAAAATGAAAGTCATAGTTTGGTGATGAAATTGAAGCATTTAAAAATTTAAAGACTAATTTAGAATGTAAGTCACATTAAAAACACGATTGATCAGAATCTTTTAAATACTTAAAATTTAAATTCGTTGAATTTTGAGACACTCGAGCCATTTCTTACCGCAAATCACAATGAAAATACAGATTATAAAATAATTAAATTAAATCTTTAAAATCTGAGTAGACTTTGACATTGTGAATCTATCGAAAATAATGACGATAATAATTTTATTGAAGAGTGATTAATATGAAAAAAGTCGACATAATAATATGAAATTCATTCACGCAAGTTACATGCACGATGATTGTTCGGATGTCCTAAAATTCAATGAATTTCAAATTAAAATTCTCAAATTGATCATATTTTTCACATAAATTAATATATTTACTCACTTAAATGTCATATAAGATAAAAGACTTCTAATAAAACACAACCTAACGTATTTTTTCCAGAGATAAATTGTGATTATTCTAAATAATTAGAAAATATTTACATAATAAAACCGTAATCATTTCATTTTTTAAGTAAGTTGTAAGATTTTTAAAATATTATTAACTACTATTACGGAACACTAATAAAGGTGATTTTTTAAAATAATTTTAATCTTTTAACTACTAGTATCGTTTGTATATCTTTTTATAATACAAATTTCTGAATAAAATTATAACGTTGTGTTAATTATTATGGAAATTATTATTATACTCTTTTAATATCTGTTCACTCCACCTTAGCTGAAGTGGACGTGGATATGGGCTTCGACAAGATATTAGCCCGCCATTCCTAACGTACGCCTAAGTACATTACGCGCGCAGCCTATTATCTTTTGCCTTGTAAGCCATTAACCATGTACATTCCAGTCGCGTTGGGGTTTTAGGGGACGTTGTGCGCTACAGTGGGCGTAGTGGGAAATTACTATGGTTAGTTGATATTTTTCTTCATTATCATAATATAAATTTAATTTTTCATATTTATATTTTTATTAATTTAATCATGTTTTAAATTAAATTAAAACTCTTGATATTATAAAAATATTAAACTAGTTTAATAAAATTATTTTTTTGACCAGTTTTAAATCTATTGTAATAGCCTACTCTATATTGACCCGATCCAAAAATTAACCGATTTAATATTAATCCGATCTGGAAAAAAACTGATCCAATAATCACCCGACCCGATCTAATTCACCGTACACCCGAATTAGATCCGAACCAGATTCGATCCGAGCAAAATTAAACTGAATTTAATCTAGACCTAAAATTACCCGACTTGAAATGACCCGACCCAAATCCAATCCGAATGAATTATTTGCCACCACTGAATATATCTAAATAATTTAAGAAAATTATAAGATAAATACAAGTTTAAATTATTATTTTTAATTATTGACAACCTATTCTTTAAATAGCTATTTAAACTTATAGAAAAAATATATTTATTTTTATAATTAAAATTATTTAATAAATTTCATTTGAGAATATATATATATGATCACAAATTCATAATTGGTATTCAACACATGAGGAGAAGTCAAAGGATAGAATCTCAACAAAAACAAAACACAAGGCAAGTCCAACTCTATAATGCAATTATGCAAGCTCCATTATTAATTATCATCGTCATCATCGATCTTTTTCAAAATAATATGAATTTGTACTGATAAAATAATTTCAAAGAAATTTTAATATACCTTTTTAACATTTTTCATTTAATATACCATCATTCGAAGGTAGAATTATGCCAATAATCCGAGCAGATTAACTATTTGGCCTAATAAACCAATCCCATTTTTAATTTGTGAAATACAATATTTGTTATAGTGCATGATATTATATTTTAATGAATCAAGGTCTATAGTCCCTATGAGACCTAATTATTTAATATATTTCATGGAAGTTGTCATGTTCACATGACAAGTTTCATTAAAATATATTATTTTTAAATGAGAAAATAACTTCAGTGACCAAAAATCTCAGATAATATACGATTTTGACCAACTTTTTTTGGATTTGCGCAAATGACCAACAAAATCGCAATGCGATCTCTAATTCGCATTGCGAATATGCAAATTTTTGCGATAGTTGAAAATCGCGTTGCGATTTTCCATTTCGCGTTGCGATAGTCTACAGTTGTCGT